ACCAGGTTAAAAAGGAAAAATCATGATGATATGAATTGAAGCCAAAAAAATTTACCAAAATCTAACACCTGTCCCTGATAAAAATTCTTTGGAAACTAGCAATAGATGGAAGTTCTTGTGAACTGCTGACAGAGGGTGCTTTCTCAGCTTGATAAAGACAGTGGACACGCACACATCACCGCTGACATATTTGCTGATGAGAAACTCAAGACTTTCCCACTAAGGTCAGATACAAGGAAGGTTACCCCTCTCGCCACTGCTAATCAGCAGTGTTGTGGAATTCCTAGCTAATGTGATTAGACTAGAAGGGGAGAGAAATGGGAAAAAAGGTGGGAATGGAAGAAATAAGTCGCTTTGTTCACAGGTGACATGATTGTTTATGTAGAAAACAAAAATCACAAAAACCTGCTGGAACTAATAAGGGATCACGGTACACTTGCAGCACATAGTCTTAATATACAAAAGCCAGTTGCTTCCCTATATACCAGCAATGAGCTAGTGGAATTGGAAATTCATAACATGGTATTATTCACATTAGCATAAAAATACTTTGGTATAAATCTAATAAGACACGTACACATTTTCTATGAAGATCAAAGAGCTAAATTAGTGAAGAGATAGTCCCTGTTCATGGATCATGCTGTCCAGATTGTCAGGCGTCAGGTAATCCCGACATTGTCTATTCAACGCAATCCCAGTCAAGGCCGCCCAGTTATTTAATCAGTATCAACACGCTGACCCTAAGATGTATGTGGAGATACAAAAGAGCCAGAACAGCCAAAGCAATCTTTAGGGAAGGGACAGTTGGAGCTCAGCCTGCGAGACAGCGAAGGGTCAGCTGCTGTGAAGTGTGCACGAACGGGGCGGGTCAGAGCAGACCCACACAGACGCAGCCGGCTGGCCTCTGGCAGAGGAACGAGGCCACGCAACAGGATGAAGACAGTCCACTCAGCAAGCGGTGCTGGGCACTGGCCATCTGCACACAGGGAAGTGCGCCGAGAGAGGCGCCTTTCACCCTTCGCACAACATTCATTCCAAGCGCGTCAGAGACTTCAGTTGTTAAAAAGCGCGCAACTAACTTCCCACAGAAGATAACATAAACCAAATTCCCTTGGGTTTGGAAAGGCCCTTCCAGAACTGACAGTGACAGTAATAGCAGATATGGAGACCTCACGGCAGGGGAAGCCTTCTGCTGTGGGAGCGGCGAAGAGACCGAGAAACAGGCCGCTGACTGGGGACACGGCAGAGACACGCCTGCTAAATGTAAGTGGAGAAGTCTTCAGCTGAACAGCAAGGAAACAGAAAGTCACCCAACTGGACCGAATACTCGAACAACCCTCCAAGAGATGTGTCGGCGGCATGAGAGGCGGCCGCGGGCCTGGGGGACGCGGGTGGGAACGGGCACCCGCCGCTCAGGGGCGCCGGAACCCGCCCAGGGCGCGGCCCCGCCGACGGGCGGTGGCCGCGGGGGAGACCGGTGTTCTCATTCCCTGCTGTCCAGTGCCGAGCGGCGCAGTCCCGCCGGAGGATACTTGCGAAATTTGAGGAAGCGGAACGTTCCCGCTGCGCACACCAACAGCTGCCTCCTTGGCCTTCACCCACGGGGCGGGAACAGCTCCGCAAGCCCACACCTGGAGGCGCAGGGCAGCCTGGAGGCAGCCAGGTGTCCTTCGGCCGGGGAAGGACAGGTCTGCCGTGGCCAGTGCGGACGGCCGGACACGACGCAGGGGAGGCGTCCAGCAGCCCAGTCGCAAGGACGCGCTCTTGCTGCCAGGCAGTGGCACACAGTGCACCGCGTGTGCGTTTCACTATTTGTTTGTGCACACAGAACTGGGGTGCAGGCCGGAGGTGCAGGGGGTCAGAGGATTCCCAGAGACAGAGCGGGGAGCGGGACAGGCGGATCCACTGAGACCCACTGCTGAGGGGGCAGCGCGAGGGCGGGCCAGGAGAGGTCTGCCGCGCCCTGGGGTCACTCCCGGGCATCTCCAGCCACTGCAGCTCGCGTTTGACCCCGGCCAGGAGTGACCCCGGGGCGCAGCAGACCCTCTGTCTCCCCGCTGCCCCCTCAGCAGGTCCTGTCCTGCTCCCCGCTCTGTCTCTGGTGATGCTCTTACCCCCCCCTCCACACCTGTAGCCTACAGCCCAGTTCCTGTATGCATAAAAAAAAAAAAGAACTTTAAAAAAATCTGTTTTTTATTGTTGCGTTTCGGGCGCTCTCTGAAACATGCCGGACGGTCACCCCGAACTGACCGGCAACACTTTCTCTAACTCTGTGGGCCACTTCTTTACTCTGTTGATAATATTTTTTGATGCACAATTTAAAAAAATTTTAGGAAGTCCAACTTTTTCTCTTTTTTTAATGTTGTAGACAGAACGATCTGACAGTCTCCTCTTCACCTTGTTCATTACGAGCATTTAGCCTTTCCGTGTTGCGTTCTGGGCTTTGCTAGGTCAGTCTGGTTCTAATGATCTTCCGTGATACGCCTTAGGGCTTTTTATGTATAAAGGTTACATCGTGCGGGAACAGAATTATATTTCTTCTTTTCCGATTTGATGTCGTATTTCTTTTTCTTGCTGAGTCGCTCCGCTCAGAACCTCCAGCGCTTTGTTGCGGGAAGTGGGGAGCGGCATTTTCAGCTGGCTGCCGACCTTCGAGGGAAGCTTGTCAGCCCTCGCCGCCCACGAGTCCCACAGCAGGTTCACGGAGGTTTTCGGGCGAGGTGCTTGCCTCTTCTTGCTGGTCGTGGCTGCTGTTTTCCATGAAGGGACGCTACATCTGAAGAATGCTCTCGCTGCTCGCGTTGCCGTGACTGTGTGGGGTCCTCGCTGTGTCTGTCCAGACTTGGCACCGGGGGACAAGGCTTCATGGACTGAGAGGAAGCACCCCCGCCTTCAGTTGTTTAAGAAAAGTTCGAGAAGGATTGGTAACGATTCTCCTTTCAGTGTTTTCTAGAATTTGCCATGGAGACACAGATCGGGGCTTTTCTTTGTCAGGAGAGTAGCAGCTTCTGACCTTCTCCTTCGTGAGACTGTTTCTCCATCATCTGCAACGAGGTTTTCGTCTCCAGGAACGCGTGTGCCTCGCCTGGGCTATCCGGCTGCCGACACACCGTTTTTCATCGCAGTCTCCTCTCATCTCCTGCCGCCATAGACGCCTCGGTAACGTCCAGACTTTCCCTCTGCTTTCATCTGCGGCCCCGCGCGGTCCAGCTCTCCGCTCCTCCGGCTGACCAGCTGTTCCACCGTTCCTGAGGGCTGGGCGTGGGGGTCCGGAGGCCCCCAGCTGCCTCTCCCCCTTCCTAGTGTGTCGGATTTGGCTCCCTTGGCTCTGACTACAAAGTGTTTAGGGCGAACACGTTTGAGGTTCCCTTTCTTGGCGTTTTCTGAGCTTCTTGGCTCTGTACATGCGTGGCTTTCATCCACTTGAGTGTTTTAGTCATTTTTCTCAACTGTTTCCCTCTCTCTTCTCTTTCCTCTCCTTCTGGGGCTCCCACCCTCCCCGTGTCCTGTGTGCTGAGCGACATGCTCCGTGAAAGGGAAGAGCTGTGTCATGCCGGGTGGTGTTCCACAGGGCTCTGAGTGTCTCAGGTACAATTCGCTTCCCTTCAGCTTTTTTTTTTTTTTTTAAAGATTTATTTATTTATTCATACAGAACTGGGGTACAGGCCAGAGGCTCAGGGGCAGTGAGAGGCTTCACCAGAGACAGAGTGGGGAACAGAACAGGCAGATCGATGAAGTACACTGCTGAGGGAAGCAGCGGGCGGGTCAGGAGAGGTCTGCCACGCCATGTGGTCTCCTCCGGGGCAGGCGGCAGGCGGAATCGAACTCATGCGGAAGCGGCTTCAGACTCTCAGTGCTGTGCTTTAACCCGCTGCGCCACCAGGGAGGGCCCCCCTTCAGCATTTTTTTCCCCATTACAGAGGCTGGACAATCTCAATTGACCTATTTTTTGAGTTTTCAAATATTTTGTCTGATTAGATCTGCTATTGAGCAGATAAAAATCCCTCTGGTGAATTTTTTATTTCAGTTATTTTACTTGCAAACTGAAATTTTCTACTGGGCTCTTTTTTCTTTTCTTTTCTTTTTAAGATCGATTTATTTGTGCACACAGAACTGGGGTACAGGCCATAGGTACAGGTGGTGAGAGGCTTCACCAGAGACAGAGGGGAGCAGAGCAGGCAGATAGATGAAGCACACTGCTGTGGGGAGCAGCAGGCGAGCAGGAGAGGCCTGCCGCGCCCTGGGGTCACCTCCGGGGCAGGCGGGGATCGAACTCGCAGAGAAGCCACCACGGCTTGGCCGAGCTTGGCAGTGTAGCGCTCCAGCGCACTATGCCAGGCCGGAGGGCCCCTCTGCTGGGTTCTTTTTAAAGATTGATAGTATCTGTCTCTTCTTTGAGATTCTTCATTTGGTGAGATATTCACGTATTTTAGTTCTCCAAAATTCATTATTTTTATTCTTTGAATATATAAAAAATAACTATGCCAAATCTCTGTGTAGTAAGTTCAACGTGTGGGTTTCTTAATGACAGTTTCTCTCGATGGCTTTTTCTTTTCTCTGAGCCATATTTTTTCATTTCTTTTTATTGAAAATAAACATTAAAAAAGCAATAATGGGATGACTCTGGACAAGAGCCTCTGCTCCTCCTCCTTCTGCTGCTGTTTGTTAGTGGCTCTGGACGGTGGCGGAAGTCCGCTCTGCTGGTGCATGGCCACTGGAGTCTCTGCTTAGATAACTTCGTGAGGATTTCACTAGGGAGAGGGGCTCCCTGCGAGCGCGTGTGGGGGTCAGCTTCTGCAGCCGGCGGGCAGGTGACGCGTCCGAGCACTTTCGCTTCCTTCTGGGGCACAGCTTCGAGGTCAGCCAGAGGGAGGCCACAGGCCTGCGGCACCCAGGGGCCGGGCGGCCCTAGTCGGCCACGCGGACTGCTGGAGTCCCAGAGGCGCGCTGGAGCGTTCCAGGGCTGCTCCACACACCCCACTCTCCGCTTTCTCTTTCAGCTTTCTGGGCAGCCTGTCCGTGGCCCAGCTGGTCGCCCCAGGAAGCCGTGACAGTCCGCAACGCCCCGAGTCGTCCTGAGGCCCTTGAGTCGTCCTCGGTCGTCCTCGAATGCCCTTGGGAGAAAGGCTCCCCCAGTGGGAGAGCTGCCCTTCCCGTCACATGAAGACAGCCCGGAGGGGAGGTCTCCCAGGCACCAGGCGGGCCCAGGACCCACAAGCTTTGGAATGCGGCTTTGGAGACGCTCCGAGCCCCACCTACCTGCAGGGACACTGCTGACGCCCACGCTGCTGGGTTTCACTCGGACTGCGAACTTTGGGTTTGCAAAGCTACCGTGGAGCTGAGGGAAACGGGAAAGGAGCAAGTTAAAACGCTCCAAAGCTCATAATTCTTACCAGGATGTGGCCTCCAAACAGTGCCCCGATTGCTGCACGCTTCTGGTCAGGTTCCCAGGCCTGCAAGGGGACTTCGCACGCGGCCCCGCTCTGAGGGCAGACAGCATTCTGGCACGTTCTCATTGTGCCCTGTTTGCTGATACTACTGCAGGAAATGCTTTAAGAAATCGTTCAGAGTAAACATTTGAGCTTGTGGGTGAAGCGGGAAACTTGATAACACGATGTTCCTGTACGTAGGCTCCGGCCTAAGGAAGGGAGGCGAGCATCACAAATGTTTAATAGGTGAGATTAAAAATACAATCAGTGTAGTAATGTAACTTGTTCCACAGCTGACTAGTGAGAAGAATGACGTGCTTTGGGGAACGGCATTTGCCAAAGTGGGGTCCCCTGCGACAAAATTCGATCGCAGATGTTTGCCTCCTCGTCATGATCTACAGTGACAGTCGTTTCTGACCGTTGCCAGCGCCTTTCACAGCGCCAGACCCGCCAAAGCCGGCGGTTTGCAGTAAGCATATTCCTCAAGCGCAAGCTTCCGAGGCCTGCACCACCCCCCGCCACGCTCGCTCTGCGTGTCTCTCCACCGCCGACTACTCGCTTCCGGCGGAAGGTTGTGCGGAAGCGGCTCGGCGCCGGGAGACGGCCACACGTGGCTGGACTCGGAGCTGCGTGACAGCCTGAAAAACGCCCCTGCCACTGTAGTTTGAGCTAAAAAAGCCAACGCACGGACTGTGTGGGAAGCGGTGGCCTGCCGCTGGCCTGGGCTGTGTGCGGCCGCCTGGGCCGCTCGTGGTCCCACAGTCCGGGGCGCAGATCGGCGACCCTGCAGGCTGGTTCACAGGTAAGCGCGTGGCCTAGGACGGTTGGCTGGGGCTCGTCGAAAGCGCTTTCAAACACAGCAAGCTGCGACTTCCAAAGCCACTCACTAGCTTCCCGGGCTGAAGGATGCTTCTTGTCCAGAAAAGTGTCACTCTTGGCCTGAGCTCAGAATGTCGCCGTGGAACTTGACCGCGGAGAAGCGCCCGGGCTTGTGCAGACCAAGTCGGGATGTGCATCTTTGCTTTTGGCCGGACTTCCTGGGCCTGCTGACCAAGTCCACAGCAGCACGTGAGGGGCGTGGCTGCCCACACAGGTGTAGCCTGCCACGTGCTTGCCGTGGCCACCGGCGGCCTGGACAGCTGACCTCCCTCGGGCTCCATGGCTTCCAGTTAAGGCAGCTGCATGTTTTTACCACCTGCAGGCAGAGTCGATCTGCACGGCCCAACGGGCGCCACCCCGGCGCACTGACCGCTGTCCGGGCCCTCTGTGGTGCCCCCCCGCCCTTCGAGTCAGACCGTTCCCACTGGCCGAGTCCCCGTCACTCCCAGCTCAGCATCGGCCCTCGAACAAACAGCAGCTGGCCGGCAGCAGCTGTCCTGCTTCTGCACGGACACCGGCCCCAGTGCCCTAAGCCCCCAGTGCCCGCTGTCTGCGAGGCCGGGACCCGGCCAGCCAGCACGTGTGCTCAGCTGTTGCCGCCCTTCGCCGCCCCCTCAGAAAGGGCCTTGTCTCTGCCGGCGCCACCTAGCTCCTTGGGGAAGCAACTTTCTTCCCATTTCTCAGCTTTGTAAAGAAGCTGCAGGGTGGCGTTTCTGCTTCGCACGCCCCGATTTTCCTGCCCGTCACCTCCCCGCGACGTGGGGGTGCTTCCCTGGCTCAGCCTGGCCTGTCGAGGTCCGTGCAGCTCGGAGCCGCGACCTAACCGCACCGCGACGGCCCGGCCAGCTGAGCGTGCGGACCCTGCGGCCTCTTTTCCTGTCTGACACGCGGATACGCACTGGCTTCGGAAAAAGTCACAGCGCGGGAGGACGTGCCTGCGCCTTACGACAGCCGACCGCAGCCTGCGTCCGCCCCAGCAGCAGGACGAGCCCCGAGCGCCCCGCGGGCTCCGCGCGACGCTCACCCTGCCGCTGCAGCGGGGCACCACGCAGGGCCACGGGCGGGCTCGGGGCCGCGAAGTGAGCGGCCCCAACCGTTCCCACGGGCGACAGGCTTCCCCCTTTTATGCCAGGTATTAGGCCTGCGGAGGCGCCTCCGTTCTGGGGACACACAGAGATAGGTGGGCGGGCAGGTCCCGTCCGCACCCCGCCGCCTCCCGCACCCCCCCACCGCCTCCCGCACCCCCCC